CTCTCTCTCTCTCTCTCTGTATGTACTGTACTGAGTAGTCTTTCTAAATAAATGCCGTTGTACCAAGAATAAATGCCGTTGTACCAAGACCATGCGAACGCAATGCGAAACCTGAAGACCCACCATGCCAAAGCGCCAAAATCATCCCGCTACGACACAGGTAAAGATGCACCCACCAAGGACAAGCAAGAGACTTGCCAAGCGATAGACTAATAGGGGCCTAAGTAGCTATAATATTTGGGGGTTCCTTATTGTGTATATATATGTATATGGTATAATGGGCCCTAAAACCCTATTTTAATTATTAAGGCCCCTAAACCCTCAACCCTAAACCTCTACATTACGCCAATCCGACACTAAGCTGCCAGTCGGATCTGCGGTGCAGACCAGCTACAGCAAGGCTCTGCGGGCTCGTAGATGTAGGGTTTAGGGCTTTGGGTTTAGGGCTTCAGGGTTTAGGCTTTAGGGTTTATAGGCTTTAGGGTTTATAGGCTTTAGGGTTTAGGGCTTTAGGGTTTAGGGTTCAGGGTTTTAGGGCTTAGCGTTTAGGGCTTTAGGGTTTAAGGCTTAGGGTTTAGGGCTAGATCTGCACTTAGCCCTAAACTCCTCCAGCCTAATCGGCCTAACTCCTCAAACTCGACACCTAACCTGAAGGTTTTACATCACCTCATACCTGGGACCCAGACTTACATGGTTAAGTTCAAAGACAGTGTCGGAGCGAAGCGGCCATTAGGAACGATAGCTACACCTGGGACCCTGAAGCTCTTATTTTCTGACTCCAGGAAGCTTTACAGAGCTCCCCATCCGGGATGCAGTGCAGTGTCAGCACCTGTCGCACAGTGGCGCAGCTCACAATCGCAACTCGGACTTGGTGTTCTAGAGCCTGCTGCCTGCTGAATCCTGCATCATATGGGAGTTTCCGAAATAGGGGTACCTTATTTTGGGGGTCCTTATAATAAGGGACCTACTATTTAGGGTACTACATTAGGGTCCCCTATTTTCGGAAACTCCCATATCAAAACCTGTACATGGGTAGCACATCCCATATATTCTAGACAATACAGGATTTCGTCCATGACCCGTAAGGCTTTAATTAGCCAACCGTGCTACACTTGTGAACCGAGGGCCTATCGCCGAAGCAATCTGGGAAATCACGGGCTGAGAAGATCCGTTCACTCTACTGAACATAACTCAATCCCACAACTCCTCTACTGAACATAACTCAATCCCACTGAACATAACTCAATCCCACAACTCCAGAAACCTCAACCCTCAAATGCGACCGAAACCCTAAACCCTAAACTTCCTAAGCCCAAAAACCCTAAACCATAAACCACTACACTTCCTAAACCCTAGATCCCAAAAAACCCTAAACCAAAAAACCCTAAACCCTAAACTTCTTAAGCCCTAGATCCCAAAAAAGCCCTCAACCCTCCAGCGTACCTGCGTCCGCTTGTTCTTGTCCAGGGCGGCCTCTAGCCTGCCCAGCTCTTCCAAAAATGACTTTACTTAAGGAATTTAGGGTTTAGGGTTTAGGGGGGTTTAGGAATTTAGGGTTTAGGGTTTAGGGGGGTTTAGGAATT